TACAAAAATAAGTAAGTTAAAATACTTACTTATTTAAAGGAAGTTTACTCACACACTCTATCGTCCTCCACATCTAAACAACTAACACTCTGATTTCATCAAGACATGGATGTCCTTGTTATTAATTAACCTCACTCCACATATTAGTACGTTGGGTTGCACGTAGTTTATTATATCTTCATGCATCACACACCTCAAGGCTCATATTAAGATCTTCTGTCGTGATTGCTCTGAAACAAAAGACACAAGTGGCGTTCGTTCATGTTTCCTCTTCGTCTAAAATCTTGGCTCTGGTTTATTTTCCATTTTCCTCCACAGCTTTGACCCTCCGACGCTCGAGGTGTGGTTCCTCCGCTCAGTGTCTGTCCATTGTTGGTGCTGATGCGTATCAACATTTACTCTTTGCAGCATAAATCTGCTATAATGTCTGAATCATGTGATCACAGTGTTGAAATAAGTAACACGTAAGTACAGGTATATATTTAATCGTTGAGGGTATAACTTCAACTAATAACTTCACAAGTCACAAACCATGGCAACAACTTATCCTGGCACAGGCTGGGAGGGGGAGGGTCCAGCAGTTGGAGCCTTCATTTGTCAGGGATTGAAACAGGACAGGCTAAAGGTGCCGCTGTGATGCAATTGGTCTTCAAATGCAGCCTCTGAAGGATGCAGCCCCTGATACGAGACACAGTTCAAGTGTGTCTCAGCTGTGTCCGTCCCGGGGAAACACTGTGTTGTCAAATTGACAGAGACGTGTTCTTCATTTGAACATGTTTTGTCACGTGTTTTTTAAGTGTGTTGAACTCCCAGGGCCACCGTTCTATCGAGATACTTCAGCTTGGAACCAAAGTGGAGGGCGAAAAAACAGGCCACATACCACAGTAGTACATTCTGCAGCGTGTAGGTATGAACACACTCTTCAGATTGTGCAAGACGCACAAGCAGCAAACCACTGAATATTTTCATGTCAGCTTTCTGCCTTTCAGGGATTTAAATCTCCTTGAGGTCTGCAGTGATTAAAGCAAAGAGGAGCATTTATTACCCCGACAGCCCCGGGGTAACAGTCCGCAGACACCAGAGGGGTGTATCTGATATCATGTGTCGCAGTGGACGTCGGCCTGTGAGTTCAGAAAGAAACACAATCTGAAAGTCTCGCTCACTTCAGGGAGTTTCAGGCATTTGGTGTCTGGATTTCAGGAATTTAAAGGCTGATGCACAACAGCAGCGGTGAGGAATGTAGACAGACGCTTCTTTATCAACACAGAGACAATACCTTTTCAAACTCTTTGCATTCATGGGCCTCATGACGGGGAAAGTATGTCATTGACAGTGTGTTCACTGCTTCTCTGTTCTACATAGCCGGACATTAGTCTGAAACACTGAGGCTCAAGGGAGATTGAAATCCGGAATTAACAGCCACATGTCCAGAAACAGAGACTGGAATGAAAGAAAAACCCTCCAGGGACAAGCCTCGTTAACCACACGGGACCTGCGACGCAAAACTGCTGAGGAAACAGCTTCTTTTGTGATTTTAATGTTTAACTGAAAACATTGTGACACCGATTCATGTTCGCTGATCATGCTGATATGTCGATGGTGTTGTGTTGTGTAAAGGGTAAAAATTCTCTACAGTGAATGAACATGAGCTTTCAGCAGGGGCGTTGCAACAAGGAAGGTGAAGTAGGGTAGTTCCCTTGGGCCCCAAGTGAGAGGGGGGCCCCAGAGAACAGCTGATTAACAAACATTTGCTGAAAATCCCCTTGAATGGACAATATATAACTTCAGCCACTAGGGGTCTCTCAATCAAAACAGTAATAAAAGGCCATTTGTTTGTTTGTTTGTTTGTTTGTTTGTTTGTTTGTTTTGTGAATAAGAAAATAAGATTTTCACAACATTTATTTTCTCCTTTCATGCATTTTTGAAAATGTTCACAGTTTTCCTGGAAATTAGTGATGGATCTAGGCTGGAACTAGAATTACCACCTACACCGACCAGTTCAGCTTCTGTGTACATATTCCTACTTTTTTCATACAAAGTTCACAGTAACCTTTACACACAGCAACATCAGGTCATTTTGACCTTGACCTTTGACCCCTGTGCACCAAAATCCAACCTAATCTTAAAATATCATGTTCAATAATAGCTTAAGATGAATTTCAAAAAATAATACAAAGGATAAGCGAGTTTCTTTCTATACCAACTGAAAAAACTCTTCTTCTTCTTCTTCACCTTCTTCTTCTTCTTTTTCTCCTCGCCCTTCATCAGGACGAGTTGTTTCTTGGTCTCAATCGGATTGTTCTCCGCCTCCATTTGGTTCCTCTCCTCATCCAACTCTTTCCTCTGCTGGTCGAGTTGTTCCTTGTTCTCATTGAGATCCTGTTTCTTGACGTCGTCAAGTTGAGAAAGGTTTTCTTCCACTTTCTCCTGCAGCTCATTTGTGGCCTGTGTGAGCCCCTCGGACAGATCCTCCTCCYSCTGCTTTTCCTTTGGGCTCAAGATCTCTGTGTTCCTCAGTTGGAGCTGATCCATCAACKTGTCTGCTTTCTGCTGGTTGATGGGTCCACACTGCTCCTCAGTGAGTTGGACACTGGTCTCAAGATTTTTAAAAACTTTACAAAACACTAAAAATGTTTTTTGGATGTTAACTTTTATTCCAGCCTCAGTTTTTAATTTCTAACTCTGATGCACCATATTTTTTTATTCGTGTTCTGCAGATGTTTAAATATATAAACATTCTATATGAAATATTCATACCAGTAAACCTGAGGACGTCAGAGGAAAATTGAATTGGCTTCAGTAGAAAAAAGGCATAATCTGTATGTCACAGTAACCTTCAGGWCATCAGGTCMTTTTGACCTGACCTTTGACCCCAAGGCACCAAAATCCAACCTGTACTTAAAATATCATGTTCAAGACGAAACATAAACTGTGACCTCGACCTTTGACCTTGGGCCAATAAGATGAAATCCAAGCTCAAGTATTCACTTTGTGCCAAATTCCCTCAAGTTATTTGGAGATCTTCTGTGTTCCCTCGACTTTTACTGCTTCGATTTCTCAAATGAGAGCATCCCTGTTGTACTTCATTCACTTCAGCCGGGCTTTACCTTCAAGACGTAAAGTTTAAGGGCGGATCATTCCAAAAAAACTCCAGACACAGAAAACCATAGTCATAGTGATATTGATAAATGTGAACGAGACCAACTTTTAAAGGAAATTCATTTATTAAGAATTACAATCATACAAATTCAATTTGAATGAACGTACACTCCTTTCAATGTAACCTAATATTTAGAGGGAAAAAGAGCCATGACAGGTATGAGGAGTAAGAGTGGGGGCATAGAGAAAGGTTGGGGTGGGTGAAGGAAAAAGTGAGAGGGTGAAAGACAGAAGGGAGGTGTTAAGGTGGAGAGGTGTAGGGAGTTACTGATGTTTGGTCTTAGCTTATGATAGTTTCCCACAAAACCAAAACAGTAGGAATGACTTTCTTTCTAAACCAACTGAAAAAACTCTTCTTCTTCTTCTTCTTTTTCTCCTTGTCCTCCATTTGGTCACTCTTCTCATCCAGCTCTTTCTTTTGCTGGACAAGTTGTTTTTTGGTCTCA